TACGCGGGCTTCCCCTCAGCCGCCCGCGCCGCGGAGAGACGTGGGACGCGTAAGGGTTTTCTTCAGAGACGGTGTCCTTTCATGTTTGTCCTTTGTGTGCTTTCAAGGCTAATCAACAAGAGAGGCGATTGAATCGGTGAAAACGGATCACAGAGTCACGGGCTCGATTAGGCTGGGAAAGACCTCTGAGATCATCGAGCCCAACCTATGACCCAACATCACCATGTCAGCTAGACCATGGCACTAAGTGCCACATCCAGTCTTTCCTTAAACACCTCCAGGAAGGGTGCCTCCACCACCAACCTGGGCAGTCCATTCCAATTCCCAAGCACTCTTTCTGTGAAGAAATACAATCTAATGTTCAACCTAAATCTCCCCTTGCTAGGCTTAAGACTATAAGATAGCAGCTTACAAGCAATCTCTAAGTGATGTCCTGGTGTCAGAAAGACAAATTACTCTTTGGTAGAATTGGGTTTAGGGCTGGATGTGCTTCAGTGATCTCAGCCCAGGGGAAGGTTAGCAAAGCTTGGAAAGAAGGATCTATCACTTATAGTGGGTGCAAAGAATGCAGTATTTATGGTCCGCAAAGACATATGGCAGAACTCCCAAGATAAAGAAGAAACTAATAAAGACAACTCAACAACTATGCCGAATCAGCTCTGACTATGGGAAAGGTAATTCTGTTAGTCTGAGGTGACAACCACTGACTTAGGGCCACCAACTCAAGAAACCCACCGACCCAAAAGAAGAGAAAGACCATGGACTAGTTAGCATGCGAAGCAAGAGAATCATTAAAGAATAGAAGATACAATACTAATTAAAAAGATAACTATGTAACTTGTAACCACTGAACATGAATACCTTTATTTGCTAAAATATATAAATAGTGAAAAGTTTTGACAGTTGGCGTGCTTGATTTCTGAAATACCACCAAGCACCCATGATTGTGCAACTCTGAAATCGATAAAATATCTCTCTCGAGTGTATAATTATCGGCTTATTGCACATCGTGTAATGAATCCGATTTTGTGAAAAACAGTGCCAGACCTCACCTCCCCTGTGGCTGCTTCTATCCTCCTTCACTCTCCCAGCCTCTTTGATCCACCTGCCCAGTGAGACTCCTGGAAAATCATCCCTTTCAGTTTACCTTAAATGGCACAGTTCTTAAGTCTAAATTCCTGGAAACTGAAACAATTGAAACAGTGCTCTGATTTAGGAAGGCTGCTCAATCCCCTGCATCTCTGAGAGGCTTCTGGGGTGAACATCTGTGGGTGCAGCCCAAGTGCTTGTCCCAGGCATGAGGCCAGGTGTCCTGGCCCCATCCATGGCTGCCAGTCTCCTGCCTGCAAGCTCTGGGACCTGATGCAGCTCTAGGCCAAAAGGCAGGATCTGCACGCATGAAAGCACCTCTATGAGCTGCACTACAAGCTTTAGTTTGATGCTTTCATCAAAATGACATTTAAACTGAGCTACCTGGCCCACATCATCCTGCTGCGAGTGTGGGTGGAGTAAGCTGTGCTCATGTCTTGGGAGTGGGAGGATTGTGTCATGCCAGCCTGCAATATGAAAAGGCATGGCACTGGCTGAGCTGCTGTCCATAATAAGGCTTTCAAAACAGGCCGTGCAGCTGTGAGGATGTCTGGAGGTGCACTGTACTGTTTAAGATTATGGTGAAAATCTTCTGAGTTAAAAACCTAATAAATTGTGACAAGGAAGTAATGAAATGATAATGCTGAACAATGCTGAGCTGTAAATTGTACGACTTCTTCCTCAGATATAGACTGAGTTTGCAGGATGTCCGTTCTGTATTTTTTCAGTTGTCACATTTTAATAATTTTTAATACTTTTAGTAATGTATTTTTTCCCATTTTAGCAGGTATTCCTGACATAACAGTCAGAAGAAAGCTCTAGAAAACAATTTCAGGAAGGGAGAGTCAGAAGTGTCAACATTCTTTGAAATATCATCAGAGGTCTGGTCTAGAGGCCGCAGGAGCTTTACCCCTTCACATCAGGTGGGCAAATGTTTGATTTCCTCCCTCACCAGGACTATAGGTAAGCACATTCTTAGCCTTAGACATTAATTGCCTG